ATTTTTATGTCATCAAAATCTGGACTCAGCATGTCTACCCCTAGTGCGTGTAATCTAATTGTTATTTCAGTATTCAAGTTTCCGAATTCATGACATCTGCGTATAGGTATGCGCCTATTGCTTACACCACCCCATCTTCTGAATCTTCAGAACGGTTATAGTGAAGCAAATTATAAATTGGTATGTTCTACGCATTCAGTGATGGCTTGAGTGCTGCAGTGAGATAGCATGCACATTTTCATTCCGAACGAGTCTTCCCTTTCGCAGTGCCAAAATAGGGTGGAACTCCTTGGGTCTTCTCTACAGTGGTCAGAAGGTGTCGGAACCGGTGCCCTTCGTAAATGTCAGGGTTTTTTGCTTGAACCAAACTGCTCCATTGTCGACGAATCTCACTTACTCTTATGACAAGAATGTACCACGGATGGTTCTCCTAAGCTTTTCCTAGAGCTTGATATAATTTTAGGGGGTTTATTCCAGTATGCCATCTCATTCGAGTTGTTCCTGATTGGCTGAAATGCTTCTGAGAGTGGTGCTACTTTTTGTCAAGTGCAATTGACGCACAGAAAGTACCTGGCGTGATGTGGATTTGGTCCCATACCTAAATGAGTCCTTCTTAGTACAGTTTTCAATGAGTCGGACAACTGCTAACGAAGGTGGAAGTATTCCTGCTCTGATTTGACTTCACCGCATCAGCTTCTTTCTACCACGTACTTGGCTCCAACACATATGACCGTTGTCACGACCACTAGTACAGGATTCTACCAGCCAGCAACCTTTGAACCGCTAGGTGTGACTGCAGTAGCAATTTTACTTAATGTCCTTGTCTAACCATAAAATTATTTGGGGCACTCTGCACTCTGACAAATCAAATGCAGAAACATAACCACTAGACCACTTACGAATGCTATCTCAAGTAACTCAATAATAAATCTCAGGTAATTTTGCAATAATGCCAATTTTAAGCTTTCGGAGATTCACCCAGCACTCTTCGTAGGCTTGAACAAGGTCTCTACCAAACCCCAATCATAATAATGCACTGGTATGCTTAAGAAGTCCGGGCGTGCAAACAAGACAACCCGCGATCCGCATTTTATTTATTCACGTAATTCACTCTTGTTTACAAGAAAATTGGGCCGAGAGATGCCCTTAGTAATTAGGGCAAGAAGGGCTTATCGCCTGCACAATAACTGATGCAGACCCCAAAACCTCACCGACCATGCCAACAAAAAATACAGAACAACATTCAACGTAGTGTGGATTCATTGGGCTCATAAAGCCATCACCTCATAGACGTCGCGAAGAGACCATACAGCATAGTTGGCGGACGCACATATTAGAAAGCGTAAGCGTCCCGTATATAGTTCCATTTTAATCGTAAGACATAATTTTGACCTAAATAAAGCATATCCAACTACAAAATAATGTAATTCAACGTGGTAACACTTAGTCTTCAAATTTTAATGCAAAATTTGTCCAATTAGGTAAAAAAGAACAAATACAAAAGCAAAACTTCTGCTCTAATCAACAATAATCGATCGCACAACGTGAAAGCAGTTAATAGGGGCAAAGAATACTACACCCAGGTGTCATTTCCAGCAAATGGGACAAAAAAGCCAAGCAATACACTAGATGCACAAAACTTGAGATAATATCAAAAGCAGGGAAGTGATTCCGGTGATTCGGCTCAATTCTTTTTGGCAGCTTTGTGCTTCTTCACCTTGGAAGAGCGGGGTTCATTTAGTATGTAGTAAATCTTTCGGGCGCAAAAGATTGCAATAGCAACAAAAAGTATTGCCGGAATGACAAATACGGCATTGTTTATGTTCTTTTGAACTGGTTGGTCGGGACTTGTTAATTCCACCATTGCGGTAAAAAAGGAGTACGAGGAGTTATTTACACAAGCCGCTCCTGGGGCGACCTAAATAATGGTTGCAGTAAACATGTCGAAAATCTGTCCATATTTTATAAAAATTCACTGCCTTTGTAAAAAAAGCAAAGAGATCCCGGTCACTAACATAAAGAGTCTGTTGGATATGCAACACAAATAAAGGAATGACCTGCAATTAGAAGACAAATAATACATAGAAATATAAAGTCTTTATTAACAGCAATAAGTAGTTCTTGTCACTTAAAACAATACCATAACAAGCAGTAACAAACACATGTTAAAAATTTTTATTGCAAACAGCTTACTCAGTGCTTTGCCTTTTTGGAGGTACTGGACTTGTTAAAAAGCTAGATAAATCATAGTATTAAAATTTTGAGGCTAAACTGCTTCGAAAAAACTGCTTTGTGTCAGACATCAACTCTCAGCCATAAACATAGACTAATTTGTGGTCTACCTATTACAGATACCCCATGCGAGCTGACCACAGAAAAATGCAAGTAGCCTTAATCCTACCTGCACACTAAATGTATAGAATGTGCGGTGGTATCAACATCGGCATCACCCTTTGCTTTCATATCCTTTTCCCACTGCAGTGTGACCCCTGTCACTTGTGTCTATGTCCTCCCTCCTTTCC